TTGGAGTTAAGTATTCCCTGTGTTTGATGAAAAATTTTGCAAAGAAAATTTTACGATAAACATGTTTCTAATTTGTTTTAAAAAATATAAAACACCCCAACCGACGGCTGCTCACTTATATCTTCCTATTTTTCAGTGAAAAAATGGAACATTGTCAAGGGAACCAAGATCTTGATGAACCATCTCTTTGACTATAATTAAGCAAGTTGGATAAATTAAAAGCGTCTGAAAGATCAATCTTCACCTATCATCAGAACCAACTTAAAGAACTTGGCAATCAAATCCTCCACTTACAGTCTATACTTGTAGGGGTTGTGCTTGTCCAGGGTATCAGTGTGAAGGGCAGAAAAGAGGCCTCATTAAAGAATTCAATGTCTCTTATCTGTTATCCAGGCTTCATGAGTGACAAAGCAGAGAAATGAAAGATAGATCTGAGAGGGGTGAGACAGTGGTGGGAAAAAAGTGAAATTAGAACTGAAAGCTGGTGGGAAAGAAGGACGATGGTGTCATGAGTGATTCTGGCACAGAGATCTGGACATAAGATGTACATAGAGGAGAAGAATGAAATAAGAAGCTGGAACCGGGCAGCTAAGAAAAGGAGTTATTGAAAAAAAATGAGAAAGAAAGCACTGATGAACAGAAATGTCTATTATTACTTTCTTCCAAGCTCTCACACAGTTGGGATTTACTCAAGATTCATCAGACTTGGCCTTCTTTTTAAAAAGGAAATCACCCTGAAACCGCTGTCTTGCTCATCTGAGGATTTTGCTGTACTTGTGCAATCTTAAATAGCCAGCCATAATAGGTGCTGTCCAATAAAAAATGAATGGATGCCACCAACATCACATAATCATCAGTAAACAGTAGCTGAGAAAGATCTGTGATGCAGATCTCCATATTCTAGCCTTGCCAGTGTGATGTCACTTCTCATGCTCTTTTAAATTTTTAAAAAATATTAATATCCCTCTAGTGCCCATGCTGTGTTTACCTTAAAAGTGCATTAGAAAAAGTAGAACAGAATTCTGAATTAATGAACAGTTTTCAGAATTAATGTTTCAAGCTCAATTTATCCTTTTTTTTTTTTAATGCATTGTTTTGTAATAAGACAGAGTCCTTAAATGTTCAAAGAGTGACAGAAAACACAGAGAAAGGAGGAATAACAGATAGGAGATAGCAAAAAAAAAGAAAGAAAAATGAAACCAAACATTTCAAAATAAAAAAATTATATATGAGTCTTTGCAATTCCTAGAGTAACTTAGTGCAAATACTGAATCTAGAAAAAAAAATATGATACTGTGTAATCAGGAGTGAGCCCTACAGGAAAAAAACAAAGCTAATTAGAATGTATTCAGGGCTAACTGAGAAACAAATGCTTTATATGATTGTGTTTTCCCAGAAGTGTTAATCATATTTATTTTATACTGTCTCCTTTGACTGCTTAAATGTGGAGTTCATTCTCCCATGGGAAGTTATACTTTTAATGTCAAACATAATTATGTATAAAGAAAAGAAGTCAAGTCTATTCAGAGAACTAGGGCAGGCAGACTGTTACTTCTCTAAAAGAAAAATATGGATACTTTCCTTAGCTCTGGAATACTATCTCTATGTGTGTGTTTAAAGATACATTTTCTATGTCTTTAGTTAGTGAGCCATTTTTAGTTACCAGAAGAAAAGCAGCAGTTATATGCAAAAATAGTCATTCAGTTTCATGAATGAAATCTACATAAATAATAACCCATGCTATAGCAAGATCTGCTTCAAATAGTATTTGGGGAAAAATATCATCCTGACATAGTTAAAAATAATGTATTTAAAATATAAATGCTCTATAAAGCAATTGTTAATCACAACCTAAGCCCTGTTGTCTTTAAGGCTAAAACCTGGTATTTTTCTACCAACATCTCAATGTCATGATAATACCTAATACAAACTTTTTTATCATAAGTACAGAACTTGGTGGAGCTCTTTTAATGTACATGGTTATTTACTCAAGAAGTGAGCAAAGGAGAATTGAAATGAATTATGATTTAATAGAAGTCAGATTTAAGAAGTATGCCTAGTTGCATATGCATCCAAAAGACCAGTTTGAGAGACTAGCTTCAGATAAATAATACAACACTTGTAGAGACTTTCATGAAAGATTTACTTTAAGGAAACCACCAAGGAAATTAAATACTTCAAACTATGTTTAAGTACCATGAAGAATCTGAGAGATCTTTAAAAAGGAAAAAAACCCCCAAAAATAACAACAACAAAAAAACCCAAACCCAAACCAAAGCCACTACCAATAACCAATAAAACCCCGCAGCCCAAATTTTTGAAAACACATGTGTCAGACTGTCTGTAACTAAGTGTCCAGTTAATGGGCTAGGGAGTGCCTTCTTCATCATGGAACTCCTTTTCTTGTTAATTTAAGCCACATTCTTTCTGATGTTTACACAGAGTTTTGGGGTATGTAATATTTATATATGGACTCAATTCCCACATGCTCAGCAGTTTTCTGCAGCAGTTGAAGCATTGTCAAGCTTTTACCTCTGCAAATGTTGGCTTTACTTTGTTTTGAGGGCATGGTACTGTGAAATCTAAGTTTTCTGGGGCATTAAATTGATGTGCTATTTCATAATGCACATCCCTCTAATACATAATTTTGTTGTCCAAATCAAATGGTGGAAATGGCCATGCTACTATAAAGTAGTAAGTTGAAACTATGCTAGACGATGGTACTCATGACAGTGAGAAAGAAAATATAATTTCAAGGGCCTGACTGAACTGACAGAAGATTGAACAGACCCATATTTAACAATCCCTTAAGATGCCAGTTAAGAGTACAGAGAAAGTTCAAGACTAAGAGGTTTGCCTTTAGGACAGCTAACAAAGAGGAGAAGAAAATGTTCAGCTGGAATGTAGCAGTTAATTCTTCAGAGATTTTAATATTCTCTACTCTAGATTTCAGTTTAGACCACTCACCTTAATTGAGATAGTTAGAGATCCATAAAAAATGTCTTCAAAACTGAAGATTTCATCATACTCTGTCTTCTTTCAACAATATTTGAAAGACAGACTCATTATTTCAAAGCAGAAACATAATTCACTGCACCAACAAAGTACAAAATGCAATTTAATAGAAGTTCTAAATGCAATTTAGGAGGAGGGAAAATAATTTTAACTAAACCATACTTTAAAATTGATGTTAGTCCATGCAACTAAGTTATAGAATAAAACAGAACACAAAATCTTAGAGCTGGAAATTCCTGTACCACAGGTCTGTGTTTTCTTAAATATCATTGTAGCCACATCTCTGCATTAACTTTGTCTCACCCTACTCCTCCTTTTAAGAACTGTATTTCCACTTTGCACATTTCAGTTCAATTTATAAGTTTGGTAACAAGAGATTCCTGGAAAATGTAAAATCAGCCAAATAACTCTCACAGAGGAAATAGGTAGTTTTTTATAGCTTATTTTCTTGATTGACCTCTATTGTTACAGAGACTGAGAATCTTTAGTTTTAATGTATTTATTCTGCCTATTTAATATTGTGGAATTTCTGCTGTTATTCAATCTCCTCCTGTAGAAAGCCAACACACAGATAACTGAATTAAATTCCCAGTTCTGCTGCTTAGCAGAGTCACAACTCTAACTGTTGAACGACTAATTCCCATTCAACATTAGATGTGATTCTTGGTTCAGGAAGTTACCCATATTTCTAATTAGCCAGACAACCAATATTAATGTACTGAGTATGGAGAATAAAGAAGTAGTAAGAATACAGCAGTGAGCAACTTTCCCATGCCCACTACCTAACCTCACAGTTCAGTAAAGGCAAACTCATAGCACAAAACCTGGTTTTGGAGGTATGCCCAGCCTTGGCTATTGTGTGTGATCCATGCCACCTGTATGCCATCGATAAAGACGCTCAATTCTCAAGCTCTCAAGACACTGCCTCACACAGCAGGACTGCTCATAGCACATATGTGCTTATTTGTTGCATGCCCTCTAGCTTGCCAACATATCTGGATTCTGCGCCAAAGGGAAGCAGCTTCTCTTTCATGTTTTATAAGACACTGTGGAATATGGCAGGAATTGAATCACTCTTGTTGTCTGGTAAAAGTGATCTCCCAGAGAGCATGGTTCTAGAATTTGTCAGGTAGCATTGCTGTCTAAAGCCAGTAGCATAACCATATTGCTGGGAATGGCTGGCAATCTCAACAACCCCTTCATGGCCTGGCTCATGAATTTGAGCAGGGAGCACGACACTCTGGCTCGTGAATCCTCGACTAGTGCCAGGTGTCCTTCAGCAACTGGCGCAGCAGCTGCAGAGAAGTGATTGACTGTGCTGCTGGTTGCTGACAGTCCTTGCCACAGGAACTGTATTTCTCCTTACCAGGTTGCCATTATCCTGTTGAATACTATGCATTATCTAAAAAGAAGAAAACCAGACTTACCTGCATAGTAAGCAGATCATCTCCCTAAATCTCTGCATTTACTTCTTCAAGGACTACAGGTTTTGTGTGGGAAGAAATAATAAGCAGGCAGTGGGATAAAGAAAAAGACCAAGGGCAAGCAAAAATAGTGAGCTCTGGGCACCAGTGCTCAGATTCTCTTTGCATTTGTGTCAGGCAGCAGAGATGAGTCTAAAACAACATTGTTTATTGTATTGCATTAGAACAAGAACCTGGCATCTCACAAATTATTTTATTGAGTTATTTAATTTTGCTGTCTGTCTCCACGTTTTTTGGAAATGGTTGTTAAAGATAGTCCATATTTTGTTTGAGTATTGTTCCCTGATTCTGTCATCTGGGTTTTAGATACAAGGGAAGGTAACTACCACCTCCGTAGTTTAATTCTTTGTCTGTTTTTAATGTCATAGTAAATTACTATTTGTACTTGTTGCTTATTGATGTAGTGCATAGGAACTGTAGTAAAAAAAAAAGCCATTTTACTTTGTTAATCTGTTGACTAAAAACTGCCTTCCTGATTATTATTGCATTGTTCTTTTATAGAAATACTGCAACTGTGTCTGTACATACTTCCTTAAGCCTGCGTTGTCCAGAAAGAAAAATGGGCCGAAAGAGAAAATGTTCTGAAAAGCAAGCAAGGATGTGATGAAGAAGAAATTGCTTCAGCAGGAGAAATGTACTAAAAAGTAAGCAATGGTTTCTTTTCAGACAGCTTTGCTGACAGGCAAAGCAAAAGGAAAAAATTTTGCTGGTTTTAGAAGAGGACAATGTCACCACTGACATCATGTCCACTCTATATCATTCTCTCCAGGTCTTTTGATTAAGAAATAAATGGAGAAGGAAAGAAACAAGAAAATTCACCAACATTGTGACCTTCTGCCAAAGATATAGGCCAGGCATAATCCCTTATGTGGTGGTGTATCCTCTACCCCCTCCTCTGTCTTGCTCTAGGACCTCAAAAGCCCCTGGTAAGCCTTGAACAAACCATCTGAGCAAAGACACACCCCTTTATAATACCAGCTGGGTGGTGAAGAATCACAGCAAGAGCTCTTGCATGGTAAAGGTGGGAATAATTCTGACTTCAAAAAAATATCAGTTGCCTAACCAAGGTCAGGAGAAAAGAATAAACAGTTATCCTTTTCACCCTTGGCAAATAACTTACCTGAATTGTAGCTCAATACCATAGCTATTAGACTTTTTGGGAAAAAAAATCCAGTAGTTACCAACTTGGTTTATGACCAGGATGGAATCTTAGTGTTGACTAAAGCCAAGCATCTCATAACAGGGGTCCCTAAGTGAGATCCTTTCATCTCTCCTGGACTTCATAAGGCTGTAGCAGCACATCCCACTGAGTGGGATGCCCTTTGGAGCTGACTAACGCTCAAGTTTTGGGTTCACTTAGAGTTTAAGTTTTCAATACCCAAAAGACTTTCTTTCACTGATGATGAGTCCTAGATGGCTACCCACTCCTATGCACATACATAGTCCTTGAGGTATAAGCCATGCCTGTTGAGAAACATGATGGGATTTTATCTGAGTATTTCACTGACACTGAGCAGAATTTTTGATGGGTATCTTTACATACTATATCTATACATCTTTTTGCCTCTTGTGTGGGCTTGTGAATGAATTATTGTTGGTATTAATGTTGCTATTGGAAATCAATAATAAAGTCAGTGTTATAATTGCAGCAAATCCTAGCTGAGCCTGAGCTTCAGTGGAGTGAAGTGGTCTGGAAATGGGCAGCACAGTGCAACAAGGACAATCTAGCTTTTCGTCGTCCTTTTGATTGATGGAGGTTTGTCCATCATAGTTTTCTTTTTCATTTTCCCAGGCTTGGTGTTGGGAAAAGCTAGCTGTGGAAGCACCCATCATCATGGTTTTGTCCCAGGAAGCTGAGGGGTGCTGAGCACAGGAGCAGCCACCACCAGTCATTGTCCTGAGGTCCATGTGGTGTCACCCACGGGAAGTGCCCCCCAGTTTCTCTCTGTCTTGGTGGCCATGTGGAACTAAGTCAAGATGGTGAACATCTTTAGTGTTTAAAGCACCTTCTCTTTTTGCACATCTTTGTTATTAGCATCACCACTGTTACTGTGTATTTCTTGTTCCATTGCTTCTTCAGTGAATTGTTGTTTCAATCCATACTCTCTTTGTTGCACTCTTACTGGAGGGTTTGGGGGAATGGGATTGACTTCTTGGATTGACTTCAGGTTTAATTTTCTGTTGGTATTAAACCACCACAACTTTGTAGTAAGCAATTGAATGAACCTTGTGATCAAACTCTACTAAAGTTGCACTTTCACAATTTAATATTAAAACCTGCTTTGTGCCACTATTGATAGTCATTTTTTAAAGTCACCTAACCATGCTTCATGAGCTTCTTCCATGAAAGTAGCAAAAAGATCATTCAATATAGACATAAACTACAGAAATGTAGATGTTAACAAGTATTTCTGAAATCCTATGTGACCTGGCTCCTTAGAGCTGCCTTGTCTATGTCCACCATTTAATTGCTGCTGTTGAACAAGAAGCACTAATAACCTCAAGGAATACCCAAATTCTTTCTGAATGTGTCAGATGTCACTGATGAAGCTAAAAATCTAATACAAATCTTGGAAATGGGATTTCCTTATAGAACAGTTTTGTTATCCTTTTACCTTCTTTGAAATTACCTGCAGGGTTCCAATGCATTTCACAATGTCACACTAGTCCATTCTCTGGTGCATCTGGAAAACTATGGCCTGATCACTATTCCTGAGACTTGGTGAAATGAACCACATTATTAGAGTGCTTCATACAATGACTAAAACTGTTCAGGACATACAGCTGGAAGAGGCTGGCCACTCTGTCCATGATAGATGATAGACAGAGATGGAAAGGTGAATGGGGTTCCCCTCTATGATTGAAAAGATGATTGAATGATTGGATGATTTCCATTTCTGTATGGAAAAAAAAATCCATTGCCACTGAAAAACAACCTAGCAGAGATCTGGAGTGTATGGGTGAAAATCAGAGGCCAAACTAACAAAGGCAGTCATAGAGCAGATGTTTGCTGACAGATAGCAATCTATCAGCCTTACCCCAGGCCTAGTAAAGTTGTGGAACAAGTCCTCCTGGCATCTACCTCAAGGCATATGAAAGACATGAAAATGGCTTCCCCAAAGGCAGATGGTGCCTGGCCCTCTGCAGTGGAATGTCTGCTCTGGAAAAGGATGAGTATAGGACCTGATGGAATTTACTTTGTCTTCCATAAGGCCTTTGATATGGTCCATTCTCACTGCTAAATTAGAAATATACAGGTGTACTAAAGATGGGTGCATTCTTGGATAAGAAAAGACTACCTGAGTGCTTGCATATGAAGAGATGCAGTTAACAGCTCAATGTTCCAATGAAGATCAGTTAAAGTGAAATTTGTCAGGAGTGTCTACTGGGGCTGGCACTGTCCAACATCTTTATTAATGACAGGCAGAGTGGAATGTAGTGCATCCTCAGCAAGTTTATGGAGACAGCACAGTATTGGGTCCAGCTAAAATGAAGTTAAATCTCCCCACAGCAGCCCTCAAAGCACTGTGAATTGTAATGCTACCTACAAAAGTGTTGATAACACACCAGTGTTTTGGCTTTTGCTGAGCAGAGCATCAGCAACACCTCTCAAACACTCTCCCATTCCTACCTGCCAGTAGGCTGGATCCTTGGAGGTGACATAGCCAGTACAGCTGGTGACCAAAGTGATATTCCATACTATATGATGTCTGCTCAGCAATAAAAGATAAAAAAGAGGCGGTAGGGGTGGTGTGTGTGGATGTGTGTCTGTGGGTGCACGTGTGAGGTTACCTACACCTACAGTGTGAGGGGGTTGATTTGTTGTTTACATTGTTTGCTTCCAGAACAACCAATAAATGTGCTGAAGTCCTGTTTCTCAGTAAGTTATTGGTCATTGCTTATGAGAAGCAGAAAATAAAATCTTTTCTTTGGTTCTTCATGCATGACCTTTACTTTTCCTTTTTTCAAATTTCCTTTATCTTAACCCGGAAGGGGTTTCCCCATCTTATTTTTTCTAACCCTTTCTGTCTAAAAAAGGAGTAGTAGAGTGATTTGGTCAGCATACAGCCCAGGCCATGCCACCACAGGCAGCAAGCTGAATAGTGCAGTGATATGCTAGAAGGAAGGGATGCCATCCAGAGGGACTTTACAGGCTGAATAAACACACCAATATACATTTCACGACTTTCAACAAAGTTAAGTTCAAGGTCCTGCATGTGGGCCAGGGCAATCAATAACAGCATTAAAGACTAGGAGATGAGCAGCTCTGAAAAGATAAAATTGGGATATTAGCAGATAAAAGCTTAGGTATGAACCAGCAATAGGCATTTGCCAGAAATGCCAATTGTTTTCTGGACTTCATCAAAAGCAGCATGGCCAATAAATTGTGGGAAGTGATTCTGCCCTTCTCCTCTGCTCTGGTGAGGGCTGACCTGGGGTACTGGATCCATCTCCAGTGTTCCCAACACAAAAAAGACAAGTATCTGTCAGAGTGTACAGAGGAGGCTATAACATCTTTTTTATGAAGAAAAGCTGCAACAGTGGAAGTTAATAATCTTGCAGAAGAGAAGGGTCTGGGAAGACTCTATTATGGTCTTTCAATACTTAAAGGAGCGCATAAGAGGATTGGGAGAATTGTAATTACCCTAGAGAAGTACTGGAACTTACAATTAGCCTGGAGAAAAGGAGGTTGATGTGAGACCTTCTCACTCCCTGCAATTACCTGAAAGGAAGTTGTAGGAAGATGAGGGATGCTGACTTCTCCCAGGCAGCAAGGATGACAGTGAATAGCCTCAAGTTGCTCTAGGGAACATGTACATTTAGATTAAATAAGGAAGAAATTTATTCAGGGAGGGTGGACAGAGACTTGCCCAGAGAAGTTTTGGATAATCAATCACTGGAAGTGTTCAAGACAAGGTTGTATGGGGAAGTGAGCAATCTAATCTAGTGGAACATGTCCCTGTCCATGGCAGAGACTTTCAAACTAGGCCCCTTTAAAGGTCTCTTCCAACCCAAACAATCTTATTGTTTGAATCTTTATTACAGATTTTGTATTTTTACCATCTAGATTGCTATTGGACATATTATCTCTATCTGCATACTGTGCTTTAACACCTGTATGAACAGAACAACTTTTTGTGAAGCAACAGAATCTGCTGATGATTCCACACTTGTAGTTTGATTCCACTACTTGTAGAAAACAAGTAGTTAAGGACACCAAGAACTGCAATGGACCCAGAAAATTACTACATTAAATCTACATTAAATCCAAATCTCTTGGTTAAAATTGTTCTTGTTTTCATAATACAGCACTGCTAGTCGGGGAATATGTATTGATGTTGTCTCATACACCTTCCCATTGCCATTCAATGGCAATGGCAATTACATATCTTGCAATAGGAAAGAACAATGCATCTTTTTTTTTTTTAACAATTGTTTATCAACTATGGGGGTATTTTGTTGGGCGTTTTTTTTTTTTTTTTTTGGTGTTTTTTCCCTTTTAAATGTTGCTTAGATTTACCCTTCAAAATTGTCTTTTTCTTCTATTAGCATCACACTGCACCAAAGTATTTTTAAAAGTAAACAGTTGTTACTCTGAAGCAGACTTCGAAGGAACTGTACTCAACAAGTATTATAATTTTGTGTCCATTTTTTTCAGCTAGTTCCCTAATTACTTGTTCTATGCTATGATGAATAAGTTCTATAAGTAAAGCATGAGTCTTATGTCCAGAAAACTCCATTTGCAAAACAATACTTTGTAAAGGAAAAAGAAGATTATTTTAGAAAGGTATCTTGGAGGGTAAATTATTATAAACCAGAATGAAAATATTTATGCCTAAGAAATCGGTACTGGGTTAAAATCCAAGTTAAAAGCTCATGTATTTGATAAGGAATACAAAATTGGTACATCTTTTATCGTGGAAAAGAAAGGGTACCCTGTAAATAGGTTTACTAAAGAAACAATGCCAATGCAAAAATGTGAAATGTGCATGTGTGAGCATGAAGTGTATCTGTGTTTAATTGCTTATGTAAGTTTGTGTTTAAGCACTGAAGAATTCCTTTTGCTCTGAAGTTCTGTTCTATAGCAGACCAAAAAGGAAGACCAAAATATTCTAATTTCTAATGTCATGTGCACTGTCTGCCAGCTGCTATACTCATTATTACGTACAGGCCACAGCATTATATGCTAGACTAGTTTGCTATCTCATTACTAATTCCTTTATGCATCCTTTAGAGCAGCAATTAAAAGGTGGGCCTTCAGCATGGGAGAGCCAACTATTTGAACCATAATCACAACATATTTTATCCTCTGCACTGGAGGCTGTGCAGTGATTTGGAAGTTAAGTCCTTGTGCAATCTCTTAAGATTGCCTCAGAGGCAGGGGAAACTAATTTGCAAGTATCTTCCTGCAAATATTTTTGGACATGCGAAAAGAAAGAGTGGGGTAATCTTCACTTTCTAATTAAATTGCTAATTATTTGTTATATTTGTTATCTGGGGAAAAAAGAAAGAAAGAGAGAAAATCATCTGTCTTACCCTTTTTGTAAGTAAGTAATTCTTAATGTAGTAAAGTCTAGTAATTGATATGTCTGATTTCTTTTGTCTGGTTGTCCTTTATTAAATATGAGATTTTTGTTATGTGCAAAGCAGTCTATAAGGGTCTCTTGTCAAAGTTGTCAGTTTATTCATAGCAAACCTATAGAAATTTTTAATAAGAAGCTCTTCTAATCACTAACACCCCCTCCACCTTCCCTATAAAGGCATTTCAACAAATGTTTTTGTTCTAGCTAACGAAGTGTGCATGAGATGAAGGAATGGTTGCTTAAAACACAGAGAATTTATGAGTATTCTGAGAAATTTTGTTTAAGGTATTTAAAATCCCCTAGAAATACCAGGAGAAAAAAGTTACCTCTCTCTATTATTTTATTAGAATGAACATTTTATAAAAATGAGAAAAACCTCTCATCTATGCCATACCCATTTGCATTTATTTTTACAAAATTTATTTACTAAAGTATTTAAGACAAATGCTTTAAAAATCAACTCAACTTTATCTACCACCGCTTATGTTCCTTAAGCTTTAATTTCTCTTTACAAGTAGTTAATTCATGCCCTGGAGAGCGAGAACTTAAATGAGTCAGAAACTTATATTTATATAGTCTAAAAAGACCAAATATATAATTATTCATTCATAAAACACCACCACCAACAACTCCACCAAAAAAAAAATCCAATATGAAATGTGAAACATGGACATAGCTGTGCAATTCTTTGGTCATTAGTGAGGAATTTTATAGCTAAATAATGTGTGTTAAGAGAATTCAAATAATTATTCATTAATATTGCATCACAGAAATTCCTCCATGGTAATTTTATGCATATTAGTATTTTATGCACAATCAGAACAGATGAGGCCTTGCTTCAAATTAAATTCTACTTTGTGGAGTGTAAAATGGAAAATTATTCAGTTTTCTTGAACACCAGAATGAGTGCTAGCTTGGTGTTTCAGCAGCAAACAGCAACTCATCACATGGTAAAAGCATATAGCAAAAATTTGAACTAGGCCCCAGATCACTAATTGGCTTGACAGATCAAAGCTGCAACAAGAGAGCTCTCAGGAAGATGAAATGATTTCAAGAGTACTATTAGATGGCTGCCAATACCTGAAGATTAATGAAGAAACAAAAATCATATTGTTGACATTTACAGACCCTGCTTGCCATAAACTCTATTAATACACAAACCTCTTCATCCACCTACAAAACCAGTTGTTGTGTGAGAAGCACTCTGCTCTCTTTTTTTTACCCTTATCCATAACATAACCTCTCCTTTTCCCACATCAGCTCATTTTCTTTATGAAAAACGCCAACTCTATTATTATTTACTTTGTACTACATAACCAGTTATTAGCAAGCATTAAAATAAATTCTGACTTCCTTTCAAATCTCTTTACCTCACTGAAAAGGCAGTTTTTTCCCCCTTAAATAAATATTTTTAAATATTTATGTACATGACCGTTCTTTATAACAGAATGCCAGACTAGCAGCTGTGGATCTTTAGAATAAGCCACCAGCAAAGAATTTCAGAATAGAGAACGCATGGTATTGAAAATGGATTTTAAGAGTTCATCAAATACATAATGTTTTTTATCCACAGAGTACATGCAGTTTTGTCTCCTGATATTTATTCAAAACTGTCTTTTACACTGTTTAGAGTAGCAGTGCTCTTGTACTGCCTGATCACTTGTATCTCATGTCAGAGTACAATTGACTGGAGGGCACTCTGGTCCCAGGTCACCAAGATTTTCACTCAGAGAATGCCTCTAACCAGTAACAATATTGCTGGAGAAGGACAAGACTCTGAAATGAATCTTTACCAGAGGTCTATAAAGATCGCTGGTAGGTCAGAAACTTGCTCAGACCTTGCCAGTAAATTCCTATTTCAAGCTCTTCAGTTGCCTGCCATTCTGCCCACATGATTCAGAATTGCTGAACACAGCTAATGACAGCAACCAACTCTCAGTCAGAAATGCTATTGTATAAGTGATTGGCATATGTTGACAAAAAATTGCAAAAGAAAATGAACTATTTCTAAACAATGCATAATGCATGACAGGAAATTATATTATTTCATAGCAGTATTTTGGTTTTCCAGATGTTTCCTTGATCTTTATCTGCAAGAAAAAATAGTAAAAAAAGAGTATGTATGATGTCTAAACTGTAAAGTGCTGCTGAAAACGTACTCCTATGGGTCTGATTAACAGCTTGTTCAAGCACTTTTTTCTATTGTAATTAAATGGCATTTGGGGAGCGAAACACCTCATAACAGTGTGCTAGCATCAGTAATGCTGTATATTTTTATTCCACTGTTGGATCTCCCTAGCTGAGCCTCTGATCTATTTTAATAGTATTTACAAGGAGGGAAATAGAACCATTAACTTCCCCATATTGTCATGTTGTAATATGTCCGTAAATATCAAATCCAGGAGGCTAAACAAATGTACTGGATATAATTTATGCCCTTGCTTTCCTTCCTCATCGAAAAGGTAATTGGGATTAACATAACTATGTTGGAAGTATTTTCTAAAAATCTCAGCTTTAATACAATTGCTGATAGTTAATGAGGGAAATATGGTACGAGATTTTTTAATTTTTTTTTTTTTATTTGTGCACCTGAGAGGGACCAATATGATTTTTATTTATGCTTCCACCTAAGTCACGTTGAAGGATTCCTGTGCAGGCTGTACCCGAGCTGGGAGCCCTGTCCCCAGGGAGTCTTCGCCTGGCAGCTCCTTGATCGGACTGCAGGCAATCCCCTCACACCTGCCGGTGGGACAGATGCCCCGATGCCCGGGAAATCGGGCTATGGGAGGAGCCTTGGCACACAAACGCAGCTAACTGTGGTACAACGGGAATCCTTTTCTCTGGGTTTCTTGGAGGGACCAGGGGCTCGTCTTTGGGTTAGCTCAGCCCCTCTCCCCGGCTCGCCTTCTCCTCTCTGCGGCCCTGCCTGGCTGCCCGCACCCTTCGTGCCCGGCCGTGCGGCCTGTGACGGCCTGTGCTCCGCTGTTTCCCCTCACGGAGCGGGCGCTCTCTGCCCCCAGCCGCAGCCGCCGCCGCGCTCCTCAGGGCCTGCGGCGCGACCCGCGGCACCCGGCCCGCGGCAGCCGCCCTGCCCCGACCCCGACATGCCGCCCATGGCTGCTCCACGAGCATGCCCGTGGCCATGGCAGCCTGTGGCTTGGAACAGCAGGGACACGCAGCCTGCTGCTCCTTGGAAATCGCGCCCAGCCGCCACGGGAGCACGCAGACGCGCCGTGAGCTGATGCTGACAGAGCGCCAGGTTCCTGCGGTAGCTCTGCCCCTGCCTTCTGCTTCTCTTTCTCTTTTTCCCTCTGTGATCTCTTGTCTATCGCACTTGGGTAGGAACACTTTCCCTTTATCAATAAACAGTTTTCAGATACGATATTGTTGCATTTGCGCTTCATTTTCATCTGAGAAATCTGTCAGAAAAATCCTCTCCGACCAGCTCTTTTATGGCAGCACGGAGCAGCATCTCATGAAGAAAAATGTGCAATATTTAAAATACAATTAATATGATGACAGATACAAACACAGAACCAAAGGTATTGCTAGATAACCCTTCTGCTGTAAGGGTATTTTGACTGTTACTATTTATGTCACTGTTTAGAGGAGTGGGATAAAGAACAAAATTCTAAAATTCTGTGTTGCACAGAGAATCCTCTTTTCCTTACCAAAGTTTAGCAGAAAGGAATTAAATCCTTAAGTTTTGGTTTTACAATTTTAGTAATAAAAGTTTTTCTTTTCTCTACTTTCTACTTCTCCAGGGAGTTTGCATTTTATCTAGGTTTGGAACAGGAGATTCTGGACCAAAATAGCTATAATGTAGACAGGGACCTAGTTTCACAGGAATTTTGAGCACATAAATTAAAGCCTCTGTACTTAAAAAGCATGAGTATGCACAATTTGATATGAAACACCTAAAATCTCTGTATTTAAGGTAGAAATCCACCAATTCATTTAGTTAAAATAAGAATCAGTATGTATCCCTTTCAAAGATTTCTGGAATGGAGGTGTTTGAATAAACTCCCTCTAGGAATGAAACCAGTAGAAAAGGGACATTGGGAAATGAGAACTGATGAAAACCTCTGCACCAGGGCACAGTGAGATGTTATAAAGAAATAATGGTCTACATAGGAAAAGAAGCAGCAGGATTAAAGGACTCAAGGTGATCACTGTTACTCCTTCAGCTTCTTCCAAGATCCCTAAGTGCAGCTTCAGCTAACTCCAAAACAGCCATTTTTATTTTCTCTTTTTATCTAGACAGTAAAAGCTTTTGAAGTCTGGGACACATTTTGTGCAATTTGTTTCTGTGAAACATGCTACTGTCTTGCGGGGTGTATTGGGCACGTGTGAATAGATGCAGGAAAGCAGTTCCAGCTAATTGAGATGGTGCCGGTTGACAGGAAGATAGCAAATATTATGCCCATCTACATAAGGGACCGGAAGGAGGATGCAGGGAACTGCAGGCTTGTCAGTCTGACCTCATTCAGAGACAGGTAAGATCATGGAACAGATCATCTTTAGTGCCATCAAGCGACATATGCAGGAAAAAAAAGACAATCAGGACCAGCTAGCAGGGATTTGAGATCAGCAGGTCCTGCTTGATCAACATGATCTCCTTTTGAGACATGGTGACCCACCTTGTGGATAAGGGAAAGGCTGTGGATGTGGTCTGTCAGGAATTTAGTGAAGCCTTTGACACTCTTTCCTACCACATTCTTCTGGAAAAAGACTAGTTGCACATAGTTTGGACTAGTGTAATCAAATGGGTAAAAATTGACTTGATGACTGGCCCAGAGAGTAGCAGTGAATACAGTGGGTATCTGGTCACCAGTAGTGTTCCCCAGAGCTCACTATCAGAACCAGTTCAGTTTAGTGTCTTAATTTACTGATCATTTGGGCAAGGGGCTTTAGTGACTCCTCAGTCAGTTTGCAGATGATACCAAGCTGGTTAGAAATACTGATCTGCTGGAGGGTTTTAGAGTTGTGTAGGTTGAAAAGGAATCTGAAGGATTCTGAAATTCTGAACGATTTCAGGCTGAAGGAATCTGTAGGAATCTGAAAAGGCTACATCAAGGAACCAAGGTCAGTTGTATGAAGTTTAGAATCATAGACTCAGAGAAAGGTTATGGTTGGAAGAGATCTCAAAGATCATGTGGTTCTAAGACTTCTGCAATGGGCAGGGACAGCTTCCATTGGACCGGCTCGCTCAAAGCCCCATCCACCCTGGTTTT